ATATTTTCTCGACAGGAACACGCAGAATGTTTAACTAATATTCGCTTTTATTCCACTTTAGAGAGGCATCTATTTTAGACTATTTCAATAACTGAATAAAAAATGTTTGTGTTTTTCGTCCCACTCCAATTTCAACTTTGTCAGTTTTCCTATTGAATACATAGGTACTAAACCGATCGTAGCTGTTAAAAATAAATTTTCAAATGTAGCTTTCCGTATTCCTATGCCCATATGCTATGCCAGAAAATAATATTAAAATAGCATTTGATCCATAATAAGGAAATTGTAGATGGTTTATAACCATTCGTTTGTTTTAAAGTTATCCTTTTGTGAGCAGACAGAAAACTGATGAAGTGATGCTTGAATCTGTTGACATATTTCTGGATAGCTTCGGAAATAAAAATAATCAATACCGATTTACCCCGGTATATGATCAAAATACATGTAATTATTAACTTAAACTGCTTTTTAGGGGACATGGACACAGTTTCAGCTGAAAAAAATTCTTATTTATTCAATTTTGTAAATTTTTGTAAATATATTATACTTATTATTGATGATTTTCAAAAATTTGAATCTCAGAAGTTGAAATACAAGACAGATGTAGAGTTCCAACTTGTGTTATGTAATCAAGGCGCGTGACATCTTTTTGTTTACATATATTACATATACTAATACATATTCGTTTAAAGCGGATTTTTCAACAAAGAACTTAATTCTAACATTAGATATTTTCTAGTAATTAACTGAATCTTGTTTTGTTATAAAAATGATCTTTCCAATATCTAAACAAAAACAAGACACGGGCCTTGTTTATATTACGAAGAATTTAAGTTCTGTTTCTTCTGTGTAATGTATATCAACAAATGATGTTCAAATTTTTGCTGATCACTTGAATTGCCTTAATAAGGAAATTGTAAACTTCATAATTTGTTTTAAAAAATCAATTGAAACAATTTCGATGCCCGTTTAATGTAATAAAAATATAAATAGTTTATATCAAAAGGGCTGAGCCGCTAATAAGTCTCCTAGAAGTTTTTGTAGTCCCTTACCGGTGAAACCAGAGGGGACTATAGGACTGGTGTCCTCTGAGTCTGTCTGTCTGTCCCCACGTCTGTCTGTCAGTCTGTCCTTTTTGGTTTTCTATTATTTATCTACTTATTTTCTGAACACTTACAAGTTTGAATTTCGTTCTGCTTCATCGGTTTTTGACGGAGTTAAAGCATTTATAATTTTTCATAATTGGGATTACGATTGGGTTCGTTATGCACTAAATTAAAGTTCCAAACGAGCTTGTGTTCTAACCAAAAGAAGAAGAACCCGGTAGGGGACAGGTATTGGTTATGTAATACTGTCAGAATGCTTGTTTTATATAATTAAAATAGCTTTTGGCCAGTTTATATCTTTTGGGAATTAAGGGCGACAAAAATAGTCACGCCCATATTTAGGGAGTTGTTTAAAGTTTCATGTGCAAATTGCATGCTGGACTTGAAATAAATCTAATGGGACCTGATAAAAAGAAGACCCTTCTTATCAAATTTTATTTGAAGGAAATGGCGATTATGTTACTGTAGTTATCATATTTTTACGTGCTTTAAAATATAATGATTTTTTATGGTATCTCTAATATATATTGGGATGTGGGTATTTGCATTTCGTTTTTGTATTGTTTACAATTTTGAATTAATGGGATTTAAACACTTATTAATGGTTCAATCTATTTCTCAAAGTGATATAAATATTTGTGGCCTGGCCTGGCATAAAATGCATCGGGTTCTCCTGGCGATTTTTATTAATCAGTTCCATTCATAGTTGTGGTAGAACCTAGCAAGGGAACTCTGACGTCACGGCACTTTTTCGTCATCAGTCTGTGCCGAAACTGTTCCATTTATTGATAGTTTAGTATAATAGCAGGGAACTCTGACGTCACGGCACTTATTCCTCATAAGTCTGTGCTGAAACTTTTACCCACCCTCCCATACCAATGAAACTGTCGTCGACTAGGAATTTTGGAATCATGTTTTAAGTTCAATTATATATCGGTTGTACATAGAACATAGTTCACATTTGTTTAGTTTTTTCACGGCGGCCTGGTTTTCTCAACCATAAATGCCAGCAGTTCACCCCAGGCATGCAGATATTGGACTTACCGGTAGGATGGATGAACTCTTTTTCAACATTTTAACAACTGTTAATCCTGGACATCTTTGTCCAGGATTCACATTTCTAAGGATACCATTACGAGTGAGTATATTGATGCCATGACTCCCTCATTTAAGCGGCCGTGACCAGTTCACCCAAATAATATATTAATCACGCATTACTATTGTTATTCTGTTGTTTGATACAACAATTCAAGTAGTAATCCCTGCTTTTAAGGTTATTTTATCTTTGATAATTACCGAATTATATTCCAAAGTTAACATAACTTGAGTCTTCTCCGCCGAAACATGGCTGAAAAATTGCCAAATCGGTGTTTAAGAATATCAATCAATCAATCAACCAAACATAACTTCAGTTTTATGCACGGAAATGGCATGAATATTATAAAATTGTTATATTTCAAAACATGACTTCAAACATTTACAGTGTCACGGCCGCCTGGCTATATCAACCATAAATGCCAGCAGTTCACGCCAGGCATGCGGATATTGGGCTTACCGGTAGGCTCGATGAACTCTTTTTCAACATTTTAACAACTGTTTTCAAGTATGGATCGACAAGTCAGTGGACATCTGTGCCCAGGATTCACATTTCTAAAGATACCATAACGAGTGAGTATAGTGATGCCTTGACTCCCTCATTTAAGCGGCCGTGGCCTATTCAGCCAAATAAAATATTAATCACTCATTACTATTGTTATTCTGTTGTTTGATACAACAATTCAACTAGTAATCCCTGCTTTTAAGGTTATTTCATCTTTGATAATTTTCGAATTATATTCCAAACATAACATGGCTTAAAAATTGCCGAATCGGTGTTAAAGAATATACAATCAATCAATCAACCAAACATAACTTCAGTTTCGTGCTCGGAAATGGCATAAATATTATAAAATTGTCGTCAAAACATTACTTCAAACATTTACAGTGTATCGGTGTTTGTAAACAGTCACGCCTCTGTTTGTTCTGTTGCTAATGCTTACGTTTTCATGTGTTGTTTTCCTTGGACACATCACTGAGCAGGACATAAGAACACAAGTGTAATGTATTTTTTCGTTTCTTTCTTTCTTTCTTTTCATTTATATTTTTTTTTTAGATCTATATATTTATAGTTCAAATAAAAAATTTTAATGAGACCAAAATTATGCGACTGATTCTAAGAAATAGGTGTATTTCAAATGATTTTAATCTCCAGGAAGTTTTCTGCTTTCCGGAAAATGAATTGAAATAGACTTTGAAAATTAAGCATTGATCTTGAAGTTTTGTACAGAATTTTTAGGGGTCAGTTTTACAGTAGCTATCTACTGACCCATTAGTCTGGAAGGGGAAATTAAATACTGATGGATTTATCATTCACGGCAAATTCTTCACATTGATTGGTTTATTTATTTTGTGATCTGTTATACATTTTCTTCATAATGGCACCTGATCCCACCTCTGATGTTTCGGAGGTCCGTGTTTGCTCTGCTCCTATTTTGTATTGCTTTAAGGACTTTGGTATTGAATACTGTTCGTTATCTCCATATCTCTCATAAGACTAAATTGGATAAGAAAAGACAATTTTAAACATCATGATAGTTGTATTACAAAACGAGCTTGTATTAATTGCAACATGATATATGAAGAAGAGAAGACTCCTGATTGCTCTCCTCGTTTAAAACATGAAATTAAAAAAAGGGTTCAGTCAGTTTCCTTCAAGATCAAATGTCATGCAATCTAAAGCTTTATTCTACAAAAATGAATTTCCGCTAAATCTGATTGCTTCGCCTATTGTGTTTTTGAGCTGGAATGTTCACAAAAGAAGCTATTAGAAATTAAACACAGTTTATTTTTAGCGATATTTAATTTTAGCGATCTCAGAACTCTCGCTAATAATGCCAAAATTAAATACTCGCTAAAAATTTTGCTTATACGGTATTGATCATTGAGTTAAATGCTGCTTGAGATTTTGGCGACATTATACACAATGAATGGATGGATTTTTACGTTATTTCCCGATCATGACAAAGGAGCACACAACGGTTTTGATCGGTTGGCAGGGGATGCTCTTTCCTCCATAGCACCTGAACCCACCTCTGATGCTTTGAAGTCCGTCTTTGCTTTGCTCCTATTTTGTATTGTTTAATGGACTTTTGAGCTTGAATACTGTTCCTTTTTTTTTTATATATATTTCAAACAAACGAACTAACATACCTACAAGCATGCGGCAGTCAGTTGTTCGGCAGTTTTAACAATTAAATCAAATGTGTGTTAAAAAACCAAAGTAGCCTGATTTATTTTAAATTTATTGAGATATTAAAAATGCGTAAATCAGATTGCAGCTCAGGTCAAAACTTCATAATTAACACTCAATACACTAAATAAGCTTTTAGTCATATCAATATTAAAGTAGACTTCTACACATACACAGATTGATAGGAGAATAACACCAATCAAAAGATATAGTATGTATTGATTTCTAAAAGTTAATACATGAATACTGTAATGTGAAACCAATTTCATTTTGTAGAGAAATCTCTCATATACTTTTTTAAGCTTTCTGTAATTTGAAATATATTATTATTATTTTTAATTTTTAAGCACACATATAATAAATGCAAAGAAAAAAAAAGAAACGTCGTAGTTTTTTTTTTATATTATAAACGCCTCTTGAAAGTCTCTTGGAAGTGACATATTATAAAAATATTAATAAAAACATAACGAATCGAAAAATGTTAATTATGGAATTGTACTGAAGACGAGCAAATCATTTAATGTATACATCTTCAGAAACCAGTTAAATGAAGGTCTTACACAGTCATCTGTTTTTTTTAGGTGTCCAAAACACTTCCTCAATCTTTATTCATAAAGAAATATAGCGCCTGTAACACATAGTGACACAACATTAATGAATATGTTGCATACGATCAATATTTTTTCAAACTTTGAAGCATCAACATTCTTTTTCATTGTGTCATCCTTTGGACAATTTAATTCGGAAAATGTAATATTATCCGTTTCTTCTTTGTCATTCGGAGAGTGAACATTTGTTCTGTTGACCTCCTTCGGTACTTTTTCGGGTGTCTTGTGATGAATAAAAATAATAATGGCCTCCCCCATGACAGTTAAAGCACTGATAATAATTTGTGTTATGACGTAAGCACTAAATACGGACACGTTATCGGCAGAGGACGGCATAGTTTCACTCAAAAGATTGGCATAGACAGCAAATGTCAAGAATACAGCCATAGACATTCCGATTTTTTCACCTGCTTCTACGGGAATAACGAAGTAAAATATGTTCATGATAGACAATAAAACAATCGGAATAACCGTTGTCAGTATAGCCATATGTGGACGCCTTCGAATATGTAGCGTGAAAGTATTATTTCCCTGGCCTTTCTGAATATTTAATTCAGAAGATACGAAACTCCATTCTCCGTGTTTCTGTAATTTCGATGTCATAAAATCTGAGCGATTCTCCGATATCTCTATATTTAAATATCCTGGAGTATCAAATTTATATGAACACGTTTGTTCATCGAAAGGGTATTTCAATAAAGTTATTTCGCACTGAATGGTACTTTTCACTGTATCATATAATAGCACAAACCCATCATGAAAAACAAGAGCATCTTTGCTTTTGACGGATTCAAACGTCATCATTCGTTTGCTTTCTAACTCATTTTCACTGATAATCATTGGGACCCATATTTTCTCGGCAGGAACACGCAGAACGTTTATCTGATATTCAGTTTTATTCCAATTTAGAAAGATATCTTTCCAAATGTACATTATTTCAATAACTGAAGAAAATGTTTGTGATTTTTCGTCCACGTTTTCGATGCTATAAAGCAAAAGTCCCACTCCTATTTCAACTTTGTCAGTTGTACTTTTGAAGACAGGAGTACTAAACCGATCGTAGCTATGAAAAATATAATTTCGAAGGTTGCTTTCCGTATTCGTATTCCCATATGCGTGAAGGATTTTTCCAAAAATATCCAATAATATTATAAAAATAGCCCTGCTATCCATTATAAGAAAATTTTAGATGATTGATTGATATCCTTTGGTTTTTCTTGATGTTATCTTTTTGCTGAAAAGCAAATAAAATGCTGCATGTTATATAATTCTGCAAAGCCTCGGAAAAAAATAATCAATGCCGATGTATATCATTAAAATAATTATTTAAACTACTTTCAAAATCAAAGACCATGTCATATAAATAATGCATAACAAAACGGCTGAACAATAAGTTTTGGGGAGTTGATATCTTTCGGGAGTTATAGACAAAATAAAATATTCATGCCAATGTTTAGGGAGCTGTTTCAAGTTTATCTGCAAAATGCAAAATACACATGAAATAAATCCCATGGGACCTGATAAAAATATCCCCCTTCATAACAAATGAAGAATATGGAGATACGAATTCAATATTAAAGTCCATAAAACAATACAAAATATGAACAGAGCTAACACGGACCTCCAAAACATCAGAGGTGGGATCAGGTGCTATGGAGAAATTAGCATCCCCTGCTGACCGGTCACATCTACCGTGTGCTCCTACAAACGTAGTCTTAATTGCGAAATAACGGGAAAATTCGTCTTCGGTTCAATGTATTATCCATGGACTAACAATAAATTTGAAAAAAAGTCAGTCAGCATTTGACTCAATGATAAATTGCATTTGCTGACAAGGTCATGTATCGACCATAGAACTTACGAACTGATGAGTGTAAACGAGACTGCTGATATACTTGTTTCATCAACTTTTTTGTCAATAACTTATAATTACCTCGTTTTAGAAATTGTTCATATGTCGAGCATCCTCTTGCTTATCGAATCAACAGAGAAATATAAATTCCGTAAGCAGATGATGAAGATATATTGCTACATAAGTAACTTTAAGCAACTTGAATTTGACGATAGGAAAAATAAAGCCATCACGTTTATCATAGAGCTCGCAATAGGTTTTTAGATTACCGTTTAATGTCTTTTTCAAATAAGATATTTAAGTGTGAAACAGATGTTTCAGACTCTGAAGAGTATTTTATCCCAAGATCACCAGGATATATCGTATCGACAAATCGACAAAGGAATGGAAATTACCATTCATTAGTTGACTGACAATACGTTGAAGATTTATCTTAATGACAGGTTGGAGAAAATGCTCGAAATCGGGTATTATTCATGAAATCGCGTAAAATACTCGATATTAGGGTATCGTTGAATCCGCGAAATCGGGTATTCCGTGCACCTCTCTATAAAAAAAAAAATAAAGCAACGGCGCATTATGCCAGTTATTGTTATTTGTACATCAGTATCTTGGGGATTTATTTTTATTAAACCTAATTTATATGGTTGTCAAATATGTTTAAAATCACACGACAAACACTGCTAGGGTAACAAAGAAGACGCGATGGCGTTGTTATTTTTCAATATAATTTCTAAAAACAAAGCACTACACTTCGTTTGTCTTAATTTCCCACTTAAGTATTCCATGACTTAATTTTCCAATTTGTGCATTATTCACAAAATGCAGAACAAGAAATTAAAAGACTAACGCTGTGTTTTGTACTATTCACTAAAAGTGTATGGTGTCCCTTTCACGTGAAATATAAATTATTCTTCAGATAGAAAGGACAGTATAAGCGAGTCATAATTGGATATCTCTTCGATGAGGAATACCGACGTTTTCATAAAGAAGAAAATAAAATAAGATTAAATAACAAACTTAGGAAAAATGTTGAAAATAATCAATTTAAGGTGAGTATTTTTAAGAGAATTTTCTGTCAGTTTAGTATGGAAATTTCCTTCAAAGACACCACAAATATTCTGGTTGCATTTTGATTGATGCAAGATATACTATTTTACCTTTATTTTATGCATTTGTGTGAAAATTGAGAACGAGAAATCATGTGAAAAGGATTTTCTTCTGGCTTTTATTTATTTTTTTTTTTGGGGGGGGGGGGTATAAATAAAAGTCAATTGTGTAGTTTTTTTTCATGTGCTAATAACACATTCTCAATATTCATCGAGGTACGGTAATATTAAAAAATGAATTACAAAGTAACGTTTTCATTTTTCATAGTTGTTCCGTTTTGTCCATATTAATGAACAAACTGGAATAAATGGAGTGCTCAATTGCACCATGGACACTCTTGTCTTAATTCTTGAGAATATAATTCTTCTTCAGACATTAAAATTTTCATAAAAATTATAGCCACTTCTTTTTTTATTATACTATTGAATAAACAGGATAGATTTTCCCTTCTGTTGTCTATTTTGATTTTTTGTATCGCTATCTAATACCTTATTATAATATACTGTAAAACACATCTGATTGGTTCTAAAGACAAAATGTCACGCGACAGAGAAATAAAAAACTTAAAAATTTCCTGTCTTCTTTCTTTTCCTTAAATTATTTTATCTGTGATACATGTACGTATAATTACGCATTTCAATAACTTTTTAACACTCATCTATGATGAAAAAATATGTTAAAAATAAACATGAAATTTGAAGCTTGTACACGTAACAGGTTGCTTTTTGTTTACCTCGATTTGTTCCGCAATCGGCATATAAACAATTAGAGCACGAATATTTTGAAGATATGATGTATTCTATTCACCCAAGACGGCGATGTCGGAAATATAATTTTTATTGATGAATAAATATTCCTAACAATTTAAGATATATAACCTTAACAATCAGTAAGGTTTAGCTCAAAACTCTATTCACAACCGTTACGGCTTTTCAATCCCCCTTTTTTTAAATAGACAAGGAATGGTAAAATAATGATGACTTAGCGAAATTAAACGATCATGCAACAGTTAACTTCTCTTACAAGCTGTATTCCTGAAATTATCATTACCTCTGCTAAAATGTTGGAGACATATTCTGAAAATATGCATGATTTATAAAAAAAAGAAATTTTTACATTAATTTATACATTCTTATACAATAAACAATATATGATTTTGATATTTTGCACAAGATGAATATTAAAGCAATAAATGACTCATAATTGGATACGATAGACATTCCCTTGTTTACGCATGGCATTATCTTGTGTGCGAAATGTGTTTCCGTATAATTTGACTTATTTACAAATTGTTCATGTTTGTCGTGTTGATGGGCAATTATTATAAATTCCCGAATTCTGATATTTAACAGTTCTGTTATGTTGGGTATGAACACGATGAAGATGCAAATACTTTCAACATTATGAAAAATATGAAGCGAAACGAACGCCTTTTTGGGTGCAGGTAATGAAATGTACTAAACTCCAGGGGTATTTGTTGTCCTGTGCGCATTAATCTTGACGCCCAAATTCTTACTTGGCTAGTGATACACTTAGAAAACATGAGTATCTAGATGAAATTAACTCGGCAACATGCGCCATCCCATTGTTTAAGTTTTACTGGGTGATTAAACCGCCTATACCCATTTCGCGGATTCAACGATACCCTAATATCCGGTATTACACGCGATTTTACGGATAATACCCCATTTCGAGTATTTTCTTCAACCTGGCGAAAGCCCAAGCAAGTGTTTTCTTCTTTCTACGCGTAAGAGTTTGCTGCTTCATCTGAATACAAAAATTCGTCTGCTAATAACGGAGCGAAACTCCTATACATGGGATTTCCAAAAGGATTGTATTTAAGATCTTGTCTCTAAAAACTACTATTCAGAATCTTAAGCATCTTTTTGATGTCAACTTCAGAGTACCTCTTTGTGCAATCAAAATGTGTTTTAATAAAATATTTTGCAAATGACCATTGACCAGGTAAGTAGATTTACGAGTTTTATTTTTATTGATAAAACCATTGTCAATGATATCAAAAAGCCTGGACTTTAATTATCATGGGGGTGTATAAAGTTGAAAAGTTTTTAAAATTAAGTAGTCCCCTATGCTTCTTATGCCCACGATGAACTTTCCGCATAGCTGCACACACATACCGTTAACAGCTGTAACATCTACCAGCACTTAGTGACCAGTTATCCCAGCGGGGAGTACACCAATTGCATCTTTGAATTTAAGTTCCAGGTCACAGTAATTGCACTTCATATTGTCAAAAAGACATTGTTAATCAACTGCAAAACGGGTAAGCGTAGTAGATCTGAGATAAGAAAAAAATGTGTCATTAATAAAATCAAATGAAGATGAAGGTGAGTACATGGATCGAATAACAGTAATCTGAAGATAGAACTGTTTTGTTTTCAGCAACTGGTACATGTACAAGCAGATTGTGTAAAAACCTCTGTTCATTCGTGTGGCAAAGTATTGGTGGGTGCGTATGTCGACAAAAACATACCGGTGCGTTTACCTAAGGAAATTTCAATATTGAGACTGGAATGCTGTTTGAGGAGAAATTGTGGGATTACTACGAGATGCAGAGTCAGTCCAATAGCATGGACTAAGACAGAACCAGAGGGACTGTGAGCAATGAAATTTCACGGATAATAGCCGTTCATCAGAATCTTAAGCTTCTTTTTGATGTCAACTTTAGAGTACTTGTATATGCAATCAAAATGTGTTTTAACAAAATATTTTGCAAATGACCATTGACCAGGTAATTAGATTTACGAGTTTCATTTTTATTGATAAAGCAGCCGTCAATGATATCAAAAAGCCTGGACTTTAATTATCGTGGGGAGTATATAAAGTTGAAAAGTTTTTAAAATTTGGATGTAAGAAAAATCTTGTGATTTCACATAGAAAAGTTTTTAAAATTTGGATGTAAGAAAAATCTTGTGATTTCACATATACCAAAAGTGGAATCTTTATGCATCACGTCAGATTCACACGAGATCTCTCCTTCATTACTTAATAAGCAGTAAAGGAAGTCGCTTGGTATAATTTGGATTGCCATTTGCAGAATTATATCTCTGAAGTCTGCAAAAAAATATGCCTGAGTTTCTGATTGACAATATCTATATTTTTTTGAGACCGGGTCTTTCAACAATCTATTAGAATTCCTAGTAATAACTGTGCCCCGTTATTAGGAGACATACTTTTGTTATTCATAATAAACAAATTGTGTCTAAAATCGTATAGGTAAAATGAAGAAAATACTTATTGTGGCCTTCAACTCTATATTTACATGTAGACATATATCAAAGACATATTGTCAATTAACAGTATTTCCATTCTGATGTTGATATCCTATTGTTATCATTATTAAAATGCTAATAAAGGCAATGAATAGATGAAGTCAAAAGTTCCACCAAAAGGAATCATTAATTATCCTGGTGAGCTTAATGTTACGAGCAGTAAGGCAGATGTTATGTTTTCATCTTTTATTAAGGATTTAAAGGCATAAATCTAAAGGAAAAAAGTACACGATAAGTCACATTTACAGAAGTTATGAAAATAACATGAGGTAATTTACCTACAGTAAACGTTTAAGAAAAAATGTTTACTGTAAACAATTCAAATTGAAATCTTACACTCATTATAATTTCAGTTACAACTTTGAATGCAAAAATATAATAAAGTAAAACGTTTGCAATCAAAATAAGTACGTAAATCAAATCTTTATATGGTAAGAAAACATCATTAAATATATAAGTTACATGCCATAAGATGCATATGATGTACACTGGATTATAAATTTACACTGTACTTCTTTCTTGGAAACGTATTACTGCCCTGACAAACATAGAAATACTTATAATGAAAATGTATTATTGGATGAAAAAATAGGAAATAACTAATCAATTTAAAGAGCCAATGAAGTCATAGAATAAAACTTTACTCAGGCAACTCAATTCAGATGCGCAATAAAATTTTGGGTTAATCGTTAATCAAATTTTAAGATTATATTTCTGAAAACGCAATGAAAAAATAAATAAAACGAATAAATACATATAGAAAAAGGTTTCATAATATCACATTTAGATACAACATATTCTTGACCCATCTGTTTCATATTTGGATATTTTACTTGAAAAAAGACGAAAAAAATCACACTTCATGAAAAATATGTTGACTTTAACTTTTTTATCGTTAATTTCCCTTACTAACAGTGAAAGCAGCGATAAACCTTCAATAAATACGGGGTGTATATCTCTTAGTTGGTTCAATTCGCAAGAACATGAACTATGTGTGTACAATTTCTGAAATAAGCTCGAGATAAATCATTGACAAACACGTTGACGAAACAAGAATATTAGCAATCTCGTTTAAAGCCATCATTTTGTAGGTTCTATGGTCAATACAATGGCCTTGTCAGCACATACAATTTATCATTGTGTTAATTGCTGTTTGAGATTCTTTAAACTAATTTAAACGCCATTATTTACACAATTAATCGACGGATTTTCCCGTTATTTCCCGATCATGACAAAGTAGCACACGAGAGGTTTGTTCGGTCGATGTTTTGGAGGTCCGTGTTTGCTGTGCTCTATTTTGTATTGTTTAATGGTTGAATAGTATTCGTTTTTTCTATATAGTACAAGGTGTAAAGTTTTAACAGATTTCGAACCTCAAAGAAGGTAGAAAGGGTCTCTCATGCCCAAAGTCCCGATTGAATCAGTTCTAAATGTGCAGCCCTCCATCGGTAATTGGTGGGTTTTCAATGTAAGTTGAGAATAATAAAAGGGATACTATTATAGAAAAAAAAACAAACAAACGAACCAACATACCTACACAAATACGAGGGAAGTTCGTAGATTCCTGTCATATCATTTTTACGTCATATTATGTCTATAATTTGGTAGAAATATTTCAACAATTAAATCAAATAAAGTGTGTTTTAATCCCAACCCCAACCCCCCAAAGTATCATGATTCATTTCAATCTTATGTAGAGTTTAAAATTGCGAAAATCGGATCACAGCACAGGTCAAATTTCAGAATTTTTATTCAATACACTGAATAATTTTTTTAGTCATATAAATATTATAGTACAATTCTACACATACACAGGACAATTAAACCATTCAAGAGATGTATGTTTCGACGTCTAAAACTTAATACACAATACTGATATACAAAAACAACAAAAATACATTTTTTGTATAGAAATCTTTCATATATAAAGCTTTATTTTTTTAAGGACACAAATAATCAATACAAAGAATAAAAAAGAAACGCCTTTTGAAAGTCTCCGGGAAATAACATGTTATGAAAATATGAATAAAAGCATATCGAAACAAAAATAATTATACGAATGAACTAGTTGTGAGAATGAGCAAATCAATTGCTTATACATCTTAAGAAACCTTTCTAAATGAAGGTCTTACTTCATTGTTTTTTGTTATGCGTCCAAAAACACTCCCTCAATCTTGATTCTTAAAGAATTGTAGCGCCTAGAACACATAGTGAAACAACATTGATGCATATGTTGCAAACGATCAATATTTTTTCAAACTTCGAAGCATCGATATTCTTTCTCATTGTGTCAACCGTAGGACAACTTAATTCGAAAAATAAATCTTTATCCGATTCCTCTTCATCACTCGGATAGTCAACATTTATTCCCTCGACCCTCACTTCCGGTACTTTTTCGGGGTTCTTGTGGTAAATAGAAATAACAATGGCTCCCGCCATCACAGTTAGAGCACTGAGAATAATTTGTGTTATGAGGTAAGCACTAAACGCGGGCACGTCATCAGCAGAGGACGGCATCGTTTCACTCAAAAGAGTGGCATACACAGCAAAGGTCAAGAATATAGCCATAGACATTCCGATTTTTTCACCTGCTTTCACAGGAATAACGAAGCAAAATATGTTCATGATAGACAATAAAATAATTGGAACCAACATTGTTAATACGAGGGTCGTTCAATAAGTAATGCAATACACAATATATCATAATAAATGATGAGGCATTTGATTTAATTTTTTTCATATTTGAAAAGTTCTATTAAAGATCTACTAAACACAGAAAATCCTACGAATTTTCATATTGTCTTCGCAAAGAAATTCATTTTTAAAGTTAGCATGGTCACTACACTGAGCTGAAAACTGTTTATAAAT